TAGATGAATTTTATGCTATAAAATATCGTCGGGTACAACTGTAATATGTAACATTAAATTACAATTTTTCTTGCTATATATAACTTTTATTCGTACATTAAATTTAAAAAAATTTTCCCTCCGTACACATCATTCCTGGCTCCGCCCCTGATGGGTCGTACTCGTACTAGATGGGAAATCGAGACAGAGCAATAGATCTATTCATCGAAGCTCTTCAATGCTCTCTGACATATCCGCCGTTCAGACTCATCGTCTCCCTCCGCCTCTGGTCGCGCCGTGCATGAGGTTGCCAATAAAGTCCTCGCCGTTTCAGCCAAGCGAAGGACTCGCTGGAGCCGGGTGATTCTTTCGGGTCAACTCAGCCTCTGAATCTCTCATATCAATAAGAAACACAAGAAGACATCTAAAATGACAACCTGTGGTTCCAGGTCGAAGAAATTGGCTGTTAAGAAGAAACTGCCGCCTGTGCAGAGTAAACTGCGGGTTTTGGGAAGGTTAGTTCCTGGTTGTCGGAAGCTTGCATTGCCTAACCTTCTAGAAGAAACGACTGATTACATTGAAGCTCTACAAATGCAAGTCAATGCCATGACTTTCCTCACTGGCCTCCTTACCAGCGGCGGCTCATTAATTGATTCTTCTGATCGGCTCGGCTCGGATCAGTAGGGAATTAGTTATATTGGGATTTTTTTTATTTTGCCTATGTTAATAATTGTGTACATGTTACCTTATTTTCATAACGAGCGTGTTTTACAATTTAACATTTTTCATTTGTTTGGGTATAGATTTTATAAAATTTATTAATTTTTTTCAAAATAATATACAGTTATCTATTATATTGATAAAATAATTTTGAATGCACCATACATTCTTCATAAAAAATAAAATAAAAATTAATTGATTACAAAATTTATTCTGAAAAAATCTACATTAAAAGACTGAATATCTTATTGCATATTTCATTAGAAGATAATTTGTTACAACGCACCTTCTTGTTTATTTTCAGTCGTGTACACAATTCAATTGTCATTGTTACATGTTTTGATGGAGAAAGTTTCGTTTTGTGGTCTCAATATCCTCATCTCTATAATCCATAGTTGTCAGACTCAACCCAGACGTAGACCCGAACAATGCAACATGTCAATGGATTAGTGGTTCAACTGGTGACCAGGTGGTTCAACTTGCGGGTCATTGCATAAAAACCTATAAAAAAATATATAAAGTATAAAAAAATTTTAGGAGCAAAATTAAAATTTTAATTTATTTTTCACTAATTATTTAGGTCTATAAAATAATGTAAAATGTTGGATCGAAGTTTTTTAAAAGAATATTTTTATAAAAGCTATAAATGATTTATTAGATAGAAAGTTATTGCACACAAATACTACTAAAGCTCTTTAGTTCAAGTGGTGAGGAATTCATTTTTTTTAGAGGTCCAAGGATCAATTCTCTTGGACCCAAAAATTTTGTAAGAGAATTTTAAAACCCAATCAAACGATCAATCGGGTCAGGTAAATCCCCGATTAACTAGGTCAAAACCCGATTTTGACCGGGGAATAATACATAAATCCTACATAT